TTCATGTACTTCTTATTTTACTAGATTTTTGCTTTAATTAGTCTTACAGTGACTTCTGAACCAGTTGCCATTGAGGACCAAACCGGTACTGATTCTCTTATCTTCTTGTAGCCCTGTGTCGTGGACGCTTTTGTTCCACTGCTGCCGCCTTTTAGGAACCCTATAAAGAAAGATCAGGTCAAACTCTGCAAAAAAGTGCGGCATGTAGAAGTTGGGCAGAATTGTAGCTGTCGATTTTTACCAATCCGCTATCCGCCACACATTGACAAGCCTCTCCTTATTACTACTCGATAAGGATATTTGTCTAAGAGGGTCGCAACACTCCATGCAAATCCATAAACCATAAGCCGATCTGCATGAATCATGAAGATACCCTTAGAAAAATGACCTCTTTACAAAAAAAAATGGAATCTGTGAAATTTACGTTAGGGCGCCTTGTTATGTGGAGTGCGTTGTCAAACATGAGTGAACCGTTGTAGGATTGAATTGGATGAAGGAATGCAGATTACGTGTTCGTATATGTTTAACTTCATCTTCTTTTGTACAAATCTCCCACTTTTTTGTGGGAAATAAATTCATCAAAATTTTGTTATTCTAGATGGCCGGAAGCCCTCAAGGACAAGTTTCAGTCCGCTTTTTGGGCGAGGACGGCAATGAACTTGGTGGCGCTGGTATTCTTTTGCCAACATCAGTCACAAGCAATCAACTTCAGATTCTCTGCAATCAACTACTTGAAACTAGGTTACTGGACTTGGTTTTCTTCGCACATTCTGACGTTTCTAACAAGTATTTAGCGATGATCCTGTGCCGATTTCTTTCTTTACTGAAGATGGTGTGGAAATTGTTGATAGCATTGAACAAAGCTTGCAAAAGATTGACACTGAGAAGGTAACATTCTAAGTGTAATTATGTCAGTGAGGTAAATCACCTTCTCTTCGTCCTCTTTCCTCTTAGTGAAAATTTTTGTATTCGTACCCAAAAGGAGGACAGGCTAAAAGAAATAGTACTCGTTTAGAATCTAAAGTAAAATGTTTTAGACTTTATGTCTTGTGTATCAACCTCAAGCGGTATTTCGTGTTCAACCTGTTACACGATGCTCCTCCAGTATGCCTGGTCATGGCGAGCCAGTGATCACTGCTCAGTTCAGTCCTGATGGAAGGTAGGTAATTCAT